ATTGAGCGGCATCAAGTGTGAGTTCCCTTGCTATAGTCGTTGTTAGCATAAAGTCATTGTGCCACATGGTCGCAAATTTGTGTCTTGGTGAAGTGAAGCAGGAAAAGAAAGTTCGTACCACTTTCCAGCAAGCTGGATATTCTAGATATGGATTCCATTTCATGAACAACGCAAGGAGATTACAGAGGAACATGATCAATGGGAGCTTGTAATGGTGGGGCTGTAAGCGATTATTATTTGATCTGGCTCCGCATATTTGTGGGATTGCATCACTTGGTAATGACAACCTTGAAGAATTATTAATTCTTTGATTGTCTTCACCAGTTATTAGTGTCTACATAACTTATGTGTTGTTGATAATTTACATCTCGTGGTACAGATGTCGGAGAATACGCTTTACTATGGATCATTAACATTCAGCACTAACTATAGTTCAATTCTCTAGAGATGATTATCATTATCGCACCCAATATCAAAGAACGACAACTACACTGCGCTCGAAATGTCACCCTCATATATCACACTACCGCCAGCTCTTCCTTCCGAACTTCTGAATTGGATATTGAATCATGACGCTTATCCTACCACTATCTTGATTTGCAAACCTCGCGCGGCATTCATCTCCTCCCTTCTCGCAGATATCACTTCGAGCACTCCACCATTACCACCATCACCCATGGACATACCTTCCTCTCCTCCCAATCCGGCGACCGGCATCGCGCAATCTCAAACGCCCTCTCACTCACTCCTTATCAAGACTCTCCACCAGATCTCCCTCTCACGTCATATATCTGTAATCTACATTCCCATGATTTCTCATCTGCGCGCCTATCTCTCCGTCCTTTCCCCAGAGACAGCTTCAAAGATTGGAGCTCCACCAGATCAAAAATGGGATAAGGTGGGTAGGAAAAGGGAGATGGTTGTTGTATATGGATTGATAGACTTACATAGGGATACGAGTGAGTGGAGTGCGCAGGGGTTAAGCAGGAGTTTGGCAGGCCTGGTTGAAAGTGGCGGAAGGGACAAGAGGATAGTGGTGTGCTTGGAAGAGAGTGAGAGGAAAACAGAAAGGAGTGAGTCAACGGAAATGGATGCTGGCGGCGATGAAGACATTGGCGGTCAAATCAATGACAGAAGTGGGTTGGAATCCGATGGGGACATGGGACGAGACAATAGAACTTGGAAGGGGTGGGATGAACATGTTCCGATGCTAAATGGAAGTGTAAGGCGCACTGGGTTAGAGGGTGAAGATAGCGGTTGGAGTGGCAGAACTATAGAGGTAGGCCGGATATTCGCAAGATGGTTTGATTTCGGAAATGCAGAATGGAGTCATCATACGTAATGATCTATAAACGCAGAAAGAAATGCATTTGCTTGGAAGCCATTATCATCATATATCAAGAGGTATACCCAAACGCCACCAATCCCCCAACCTTTCATACCAATTCATTAGCATGTCTGTCATGATCGCTAGTCCAACATAAAATCCAGAAGCTTTTACTCCAAATCAAATCGACTGCTCCATTTCCGTGATGTATAGCTTAATATGCGAGTCCATCTTCAAGAACTCGTCATGTGCACTATGTATTTCATTCTCAATGTTTTCTTTCAAATCCGCCATCTGTGTTATGTCAGTATATTTGCAGGCTGTTAGCAGAAACTTTGATATGCGTACCTTCTTCTCCGTCTGCTCTATTCTTACTTTTCTCCTCTCCATTTCCCTGCCTTTTTCGTTTCTCTCTTCTGTGAGCTTTCTATGGACAGCTCGCAGTTCTTCCATCCTCTCTTTAGCACTCATGGCCTTTGCTTTGCTACCATCTCTCAATTTCTCTGTTCGTTCAAGATGTTTCGACAACTGTCGCTGTAGCAAAGCTTCGGTTCTCTCCACTTCACGAACATTGTTTCCCCTTTCGCCAAGGGCATCTCGTTGTCTCGCCACTTTCACGTTTTCATCTTCTTCCTTGGCCAATTCGATCGAAATCTCTTCCAGAAGCTTCGTACATGAAACTACATCTGCAGAGACTACTGTGAACGTATCGGTCGAAGTCTGCAAGGCACGCGCTCGTCGATCAAAAGCGTCGATTTGTGACTTGTCTGTATTTAGTGCGTTGCTCAAATCTGTTAATGATGCTTGCAGGGCAGCTGGTGACTGAGATACATATGGCTGTAACTTCGAGCTTTCTTGTCTCAATTCGATGGTCGCGGCAGTTTTCTCCTCCAAAATAGCAGTCATCTCCTTCTTCTTTTTAGTAAGTCCTTCAAATCGTCGTGCCATTTTGTCTTGGCTTTGGCGCAATTCTAAGAGCCTCTTTTTCAACTCTTCATTGCGCTTAACTTTTTCTGAGATATGGACCTCCATTGCCCGGCGATTTCGTTTCAACTCATCCAAACGGCTTTCCATCTCTTGGTTTTCCATGTATAGTGTCTCGATTCGAACTTTTGTAGTCTCGGCCTTGTTGAAGTGTTCATCGATAACCTGTGTTTGACTTTCCCTGAATCGTACAAAATTGATGATGTAGGAGAATATCTTCACCAGGCGGTCGTGTGTTGGCTTGTACAAATCTTGAAACGAGAAGTCCGTAATGCCACATTCAAATAGCAACTTGCGTAAACTAACATAGAAACCCATAAGGTTCCTGGTTTCTGCCGGAACTATATCTGGATAGTCTTCGCAAACGTCTTCGGAAGCTGCACGCATAGCGGGATCAACTGTATCGCGAGTCGTGTTCATTAGCAGCTCTGCAAACCATTCGAAGATCATTTGAATCTGGAGCGGATTGGGCTTCAACAGATCCGCTGCAGTAAATGGTACGCCTATATCGCTGATACATCCTGCAATTTCTTTGTCGGGCTGCCATGATCAGTGGGAATTCAATGAAATCATGATATGATCATCTTACCAGGCGCATGAATGAATCACTCTCTTCCTCCTTCTTTTTGCCTCGATTTTGTTGTTGCGAGCTGGGAGCCAGGCTCATTCGTGGATTGTAAGACATGTTGTATGGTGGTGGTCGTGTCTCTGTTATTGAGCGGAAGTTGACAGCGCAGATTGTTATGCTCAAATTTTGTACTTTGGTGTGTTTTGCATGGGGATTTGGTCTTTCGTCTTTCGTCGTTGTTTGGAAAGATCGAAAAGTAAACAAACGGACGGAGCAACCATCTACCGATACGATTAGGCACAGTCACGTGATACTACATGAAGATCAAAATCGACGAAGGGCAGTAAAGGTTTGTTGATGAAGCTTCTTTTCCGGAATATCACTTTGTAATTAATGTCAAAATCGGACGCCAGAAGGGATATGAAATCTATTAGACGTACGTCAAGTGATCACGTACCCCTCTTCACCCCTCAATATACTGCCGATGTCCTTGTATCAGACCGGCTCAGCAATGGTTCTGAAATACCATTCTCTCTATCCTCTGCATTCAAGTTCGATAGCCACGATCTTTGAATAGCGTTTGTATACCAGCTCTACAGATATGAGACTCCTTCCAAATCAGACTTGTATCGGGATCTTGTTGCCATGGTCATACAAAGCCAGCTTGTCACAGCTACCTAGTAGTCTTCTTTCCCCACTACAACATGATTCCATGCCCTAGTGTTTTCTGCGTATTGACCATACCAAAGTGGAGTCAGACAATGCTTAGAATGACGTTCAAACAACTATCAAAAGCTATGGAGGAGTAAACACGAATCTTACAGACTCGACCCAGTTATAATACGATACATATGTTTGTAGGAAGAGATCAAAGATAAGTGATATGGATACCCTATGCTCACTGATTACACATAGTAATTTGTCACCGGTTCCTCCCCCGCATTTCCAGGAGAGTTCCAGGTCGGTTTCATGGAAATAAATCAAATCAACTGATCATGACTATTCATCGACCTGCACAGTTTCGAGATAGGCTATTTGAGTGCACAATACTAAACGGCAGGTGAACTGATTGATCAACTGCTAGCTGCATCTGTCTAGTACCAATTAGCCTCGATGCAATCGCACTGCAATTGAAATTGTTTGCACTGATTAATTCATGTGATCACAAGCTGGAGCTACATTACACTCCGTACCTGACAGACTGGGGCAAGGGAGCATATACGGTTTGTGCAGTGGCATGACTTAACCATTACACCCTAAATCATCCTGGCTTGCGATGGACTGAGACGATATTCCGGGATAGGCGGATATTCCAAAAGAAGCTAGTCATGGTCGATGTCGTGGTCCTGTATTGAGTGTTTGTACGAACATATATTCCCATGATTTTGCAGATAAGAGATTGGGTATGCAATGAAGCATCATCCTCGGTCGACACCTAAAGATAAATACGTACCCAAGCAGACACTTCATTGCCTGCGTTATTTTCTATTGGAAAAACCTTCCCTCATATCTCCTACTGGCCTATATTGTCCACAAGTCAAATCCATGGCTTTAGTAGCATCAATTGAGCAAAACATATCGGTTCGCACGCGGGGTTAAGAGTTAGTTTAGTAATATGAGGTCACCCCTTACTTTCGATGTGGGGGGGGGGGAATTCTGCATATGATTGATCCTTACCATTCAACAAATAAATGAAAGAACGAGCTTCCAAGCAAATTGTTGAATGGCTCGATTCTCGAACAGTACGTAGTACTCGTACTAACACTGACTCCGAGAACCCCCATTCACCCTTTTACCCTTTCGGGTGATTTTCATAATGACCTGCCTGCAGTCTTTTAAGCCGAAGTCTTAATCTACACTAGTTCCCTTTGTAACAGGTTCTATATGTCAGATCTTTGTGTAAGTTTACATGAGTATGAGAATTCCTCGGCTATTAGCTTGCTTCTGCGAGATTGAGAAACTATATTAGCTCTCTTCCACAACTCCTCAAGTAAACAACCATTTCCACTACTCCCAAGTACCTCTCTTGCTTTAAATACAAAGTTTGGACCAGCTCGGAACGAATTGACAATACACCAATATTCTATTGCAAGCTCCCTCAATCTCAGCTCTTCTGTCAGAATGGCTATTCTCATTCCCAGCATTTCTAACGGTACTGTCGAGGAGGTCTCAAGCGTGTCTCCTCATGTGACAAAGGTCGCGGGAGCTAAGCCCAAATCATATCACAATTTGAATTTCGATATCATCGACATACGCCATGATGGTGCCGAAATCGAGTTGAAGGATGAGATATTGGCATCTTTGAGACCAAAAAGTGGTCTCAAGAGTCTGCCTACCCTGCTCTTGTATGACGAGCGGGGTCTACAAATATATGAAGAAGTTGGTATTCGTTTACTTGGGAAATCTAAAAATCATGTTAACTCATAGAGTCAGATCACTTATTTGTCTGAATACTATCTTACAAACGCAGAGATAGATGTCCTTGAACGTTCCGCGGAAAGTATCGCTGCAAATATACCTTCTAACTCTATGGTTGTTGAGCTGGGAAGCGGGTTTGTGATTTTCGTTGGGGTTTGAAGCTTCTAGAACTAACAATGATTAGTAATTTGCGCAAGGTGAGTATATTATTACGAGCTTTAGATGCGGCGGGAAAATGTGTCGACTACTACGCGCTTGATCTTTCATTGAAAGAGTTAGAGAGAACTCTAGAACAGGTCCCGGATTTCAGATACGTGAAGTGTCATGGGCTTCATGGTACTTATGACGATGGTCTTGCATGGTTGAAACTTCCTGAAAACTCTTCCAGGCCAAAGTGCGTGGTATCGATGGGATCGAGCATTGGTCTGTCTTTACAATTTTTGATTACCAGCAAACAACTTACCACGTGCAGGTAACTTTCAAAGACACGATGCATCGGCGTTTTTGAAGAGCTTTGCGGAAGTTTTAAGCCCCTCGGACATGTTTCTCATTGCCATCGATGCAACTAGTAACCCAGAAAAATATAGTAAGCCCATAAATTTATCACTCAGGTGACCTTTAGCTAATTGTGTTATAGTCATGCTTATAATGGTGTGTCTACTCAGATCCAACACTTTTCCTGCGGCTAATCTTGATAAAAAAGACAAGAAAGGGATCACCCACAAGTATGTACTCGCAATGGAGAGCGATCGATTAACAGGCATTTGCTTACTCCTTACAAAAGGTTTATCTTGAATGGTTTGATTCAGGCGAACAAAATACTCGGAGAGAATGTATTTGATATTGCAGACTGGACTGTCGTCGGAGAATATGTATATGACACACAAGGAGGTCGTCACCAGGCCTTTTATTCTCCAACTCGAGATATTGTCATCAAAGACGTTCTTGTAAAAGCAGGTGAACGTGTGAAAATAGAGGTCAGTTTGAAATACTCACAGGAAGAAACATCCAAGCTAGTGAAAGATGCTGGGATGATGGAAGCTCAGAAATGGTCAGCTTCTAAGGATGAATATAGTAAGTTTTCGTATTATTTTTATCTTTCCCAGCTTCGGTTTGAGCCGGCAATCTTGCAGGTAGACATCAAAAACCACGTCAATGTACATGGTCTTATGATCATAGAGACCACCGCCATGGGGGTAACTCCTAATCGTGGATTTGTGGCGCTTGCTTATTCACTTGCTAACTTGGGACTGACATCAACATGGCATGATATTGCAAAATGCGCTTCCATAGCAGAACAACTGTTATCTGTATCCCATTGAATACTGTTCTGACTTAAACTTGAAGATATGCACCTCTTAGTGAAGAGCACAATGACATTCGACTCGAATCCAGATATATATGCTTCGTCTACCGCCCCAACTTTCGAGGATTGGAAAGGTCTGTGGTCAGTATGGGATACTGTCACCAGAAAAATGATTCCAAATGAAGAGTTGGTCGAGAAGCCAATTAAACTTCGAAATGCTTGCATTTTCTACCTGGGACATATTCCGACATTCTTGGACATGCAACTAAATAAGGTTACTACAGAGCCGCTTTGTGAGCCTTCTTCATATCCCGCAATTTTTGAAAGAGGAATTGATCCGGATGTTGACAATCCCGAGCAATGTCACTCTCACTCCGAAATTCCCGATGAGTGGCCACCACTTGAGGAGATTCTATCATATCAAGAAAAGGTGAGATCAAAAATCAAGAAGATATATGCAAGCCAAGCACTTCCCAGAAATCTTGGTCGTGCACTTTGGTTGGGGTTTGAGCACGAAGCTATGCATTTGGAAACTCTCTTGTACATGTTATTGCAAAGTGATAAGACTATCCCACCCACTAGCGCTAGGCCAGACTTTAAAGGAGAAGCAGTAAAAGCCAAGGCATTGCGAGTGCCAAACGAATGGTTTACCATTCCAGAGCAGAAAATCGTAGTCGGGTTGGATGACCCCGAGGATAATTCTGGACCGGATAATCATTTTGGGTGGTATGTTAAACACGCTCCATTTAAGCACAAAGTAAATATAACAATGCACCACAGGGATAATGAGAAACCTTCCCGAGAAGTTGTGGTTCAATCATTTGAAGCCAAAGGACGACCAATTACCAATGAAGAGGTAAGCCACGCCTGAAACGTGTGTGAGACATAATTCCTAACTGTCAACAGTACGCTCTTTATCTGGAACAAACACATGAAAGCAAGATCCCTGCTTCGTGGATTAAAAATCAGCATTTGAACGGTTACACCAACGGTGCTTCAAATGGATACAGTAATGGAAGTACAAATGGGTCAACTTTGCCCCGTTTGAGTAAGGCATATCTTGAAGACAAGGCTGTTCGAACAGTCTATGGTCCAGTGCCACTTGAGTATGCTCTAGATTGGCCTGTATTCGCTTCATACGATGAGCTTTCTAGATGTGCAAGTTGGATGGGGGGGCGAATCCCAACGGTTGAAGAAGCTCGAAGTATATACAGTCACGTCGACGGTTTGAACGTCAAGAAAGCAGAGAGACATCTTGGAAAGACTGTGCCAGCTGTTAATGGGTAGGTATAGAAGCGATATTGCTTCAAGTCATATGCGAAGACTGATTGATGAACAGGCATCTAATAAACGAGGGCGTTGAAGAGACACCACCATCACCAGCGCCTCAAACCGGTGGAAACTCTCAAGAGCTTTTCACCGACCTTGAAGGTGCCAATGTAGGATTCAAGAACTGGCATCCAATCTCCGTTACTGCTGGAGGTAATAAACTTGCAGGGCAGGCTGGCATGGGTGGTGTTTGGGAATGGACCAGCTCAACACTCGTTCAGCATGAAGGATTTGAGCCGATGCCTTTATATCCGGCATATACTGGTAAGTCTTCCGTTTTGCTCCATGAAATTTTTGTAAAACTGATCTTCAAAGCCGACTTCTTTGACGGAAAACACAACATCATCCTTGGAGGATCGTGGGCAACTCATCCTCGCATTGCTGGAAGGAAGACATTGTAAGTCAAGTCAGATTGATTCGTCCTCTGTTATAGTACTAATTGAATCATGTAGTGTCAATTGGTACCAGCGTAATTATCCATACACATGGGCAGGTGCACGAGTAGTCCGCGATTTCTAGGTTGGCTGCATGCTTTGAATATGGGCGGTAAAGCTTCTTTCATCATTCAACAGGTGAGGAAGCACGCCACTATCACTTGAGCGAATCAACTTCGTCTTGGTGAGACCACAATTTAGTAACATGGAGCATAAAATTGGGTGGATAGGTTTTGCGATGTTCAAGTTTTTTCCTTTTTGGTTTGGTGATGATTTGAATGGAATGAAATTGAAATTGATAATTATGAATGAACGTGGATATTGATCTGATTTATTCAAGAGAACAACAGAGAGAACATCAGATGGAAAGGATCACACAATTCATTATCCTGTCACTTTCGTGTGCAACTAGCAGTTCAAGTTTTGCAGTGTCTCTGAATAATGATAAGTCAAGATGAGTTTCCCAAACATTTTATGAAACATGTACTCATTCGATGTTGTTTGTAGTGAATTGTAGAGAAGGTACTCACTAAGTCAAATGAATGAGGTAGGTAGGTAGGTATGGTGGTGCACTTATCCGAAATTCCAAGCAGTCGAAATGCGCCTTCCTTTTTTTTTTAAACAAACAAACTTCCCATCAAGCATGGCTGTCGCATGAGATCTCCACTTGAACGCTTTCACACTGGATTCTACTACTTTATGCTATCTCATTTCGTTTTTCTCCAAACAGAATTCCTGATAAGTAAATGCTAAGACGATCGCGGAAGACGTTCATCAATTGATCGATCCGTTTGTATTCATCCAGACCACTTGACGCAAACTTTCTTCAACAAATAACATCCACTTGATCCTCACTCCAACAACAATAGCAAGACTTTACTTCTTTTGTCCACCACATGGGAATAGGAGGAAGAGAAAACATTCAACTTCAGCTTTCCGACATTCGCTAATCAACCAGTCTTCATATACAATTGAGCAAGAGAAGAACAAGGAGAAAAGGAAGAATTCGAAATATCACTCACTGTCTATTCAACAACCAGTCTTGGCCTACAACTACAAATAAGAGAAAGAAGAAGATCAAAGGAAGGACTAGAGGGCCTAACACTCAGCATCCTTTCAGCAGACAATCTTTATACACGACCAAAAGCGAGAGAGAGAAGGAGATAGGAGGAGACCAACAGAACACTCGGCATCCCTTTAGGAATCAGGATTTACAAACAATCAACCTCGAGTCTTCGAAATACCTTCAACTGAGGTATATGCCAGTATTGTCCGGTCCTTTCTCAGTAAGAGTAGCTACTACAGATCCATTCTTCATTCGAAATACAAAGAGAACATCCTTCGATCGAGACGACAACCAACGCTTCCGTGATCTTCACCACTCCAATCCCTCAACTTCGACGAATATATGATGTAAAGTACCTATCGATAGCGCGCAGTTATATGTGAAGCAAAGAAGTTCTCGAGTTCTCAATCTTAACCTGGCTATCATATCAAATTCTTCCCACCAGGACGACAACAATTACTTCTATCCGCTTGGGAGGCATCCAAACTCGAGGGGGGCTTGAATTCAGAAGCATCTGATCTGCAGAAAGCTGTTGTGAGATAGCTAGTGTTGACTGAAGTCATCACCTACAGAACAATTCAACCCAGTCTGATAGCCCAACGTGGCACATCGATGTCGAGAGGAACATTGGATCTGGAAGATTGAAAATTTACTTTATGAATTGGAACGAAAAGATATAAAATAACAAATTCTACTTTCCTGGATCCCGTCTGACCATATTGACTCCATCGATATTGATACATCTCATTCACCTATCGCGTCTAATAAGTCGATTACACAAGCCTTGAGTCCGGAGTTCGGCGAGATTCAGTTCACAACCGCCTACCCTACGGCAGTGTTGAACCGTATAATTCGGAGAAATACAACACGTTTCTGCATTCGTTTCCTTTCTTTCCATAGCCTCACAAACGCTACTATTTAAAGTTAAGTCTAACGAACCGTTCGATTCACAATCAATTCCCCCAAAAATTGGACCAGAAATTTCTATCAACATTGTAATCAACCCAATTTCACAATGACTTCACATTTTCGCATCCTTATGCCTTCGAATTTCTGCAATTCATTTTTCCAACTGACAATTTAATGCTAGTATTGCGCTAAGGAAGTCATACCATTTCTTCTCCTGCACCCCTCATCAAGAGACATCTTCAAAAGATATAAGCAGCCTCTTGCGCCAACATTGAAGACTTTCATCTGCCTTAGAATCAGACAGAAAAAAACATCATCATTCATCTGCTTGTCCACAACAGATTGTATTTCATTTACAACCTTTCCCCATGAGCCGGCTATTCTTTGAATTTCCACAAGATATTTTGATTGACTCGCATCGTCGAACACAAGAATATCTCCCCAGGAGCAAAGAGATTCGTAGACCGAACTCAGTATCAAAGTTCAATTACTTACATATTCCAAGGCAATCAAAGTTCTCGCCGCCAAAACATTCGAGCATTCCAAGTTCAACTACTTTGTACAATATTGACTATGATGAATTGGGCAATAATTGCTCGCGAAGATCGTCTCTATAAGGGCAAAACATTGTATAGATGGGATGTATCACCTGGCTTAGGTACAAAATCCCACGATCTTGTTTTGGCCGCAGAGTATACTAATAACAACCGTTTTAGAACATCATTGCGGAACATGTGCAACACCACTTCATAGTAAGTCACATCAAGCTATAGCGACCTCATCTGTAACTTTGATAGACTTACTCACTATGCTACTCCCATAGATGCTCGTTCAAAGTCTTCCTGCCTTGGTAAGCATGTTGAACCTTGCTTCCGATTTCATCAGCAGTTGCACTTCCTTGGTAAGTTTTCCAACCTTATTAGCCTTATTCTGATCACCAGGCGCTTGATAATGGTTATGAGACCATCAAATAGTCAAGATTATAACGCTAATTTGCATGCATAATAAAGGAAAATCTCATGAATGTCTCGGGTAATTATATAGGCTTTCGTACCTGTCTACGCTGGCTTGCTAATTGTAATAGATGCAACACATCTGATGAGATGCACTATACTCGACACAAAGAGATCTTGAATATTATTCGAGAGATCAACACATTTGATCAAGCTGATCTATCTCTTGGATCCCAGATGATGAAGAGAAAAGACGGAGCTGACAAGAAACGGACAGACTCCGAGACTACCTCCGAGGCAACCGACGCAATATCTGAAATGAGCCTCGAGGAAGAGATTTTAACAAAGAGAGAAAGGAAGCGAGCAAAGAAGTTGGGAGGAAACACTAGAAGGAACGTTGTTGTTTGTAGTCAAGATGAGATCAATGCCATTAGCGAGGCATTGCATGGTCAAATACACGAAAGTAAAGGTGCTTGGGAAGGTACATATGCTTATGACAACCGCCATGCTGATACATCATCTGCAATTGCTGGTCCGGTTGGAGGGGAGGATGAAGAATATGATACATATGCGGTTCAGCCACTCACTCAAGTTTCCAACAAAGAATACAAGACCCCCAACTATCCGACTCCAAAGCAACAAAGGGCAGCCAAAAGACTCACGACAGTAACACCATTAAGACAATCCAAACTCCGTGGTCACCAGCAAAGATTTACTCCCGAAACAGCCTACAAAAACGATCCATATGGTGGTATTGATCCCGAAATTTTCTGCCGTCTTGGTATTGATGTCAAACCGCCTTCTAATCCGAAAAGCCGAAAAGAGATGATGGGAAAGCTCATCGCTGCCATCCAGAATGATCTACATGTTATCCGACGGGAAGAAGAAGAGGCTGTCATCAGAGAAGAAGGTTTCTGGAGATGGGCTGGACGAAACGCGTTTCGAAATATCCTTGAATACCGCAAAAAATTTGACTGGGCAACTGGTCAGAAAATAACTCCGGGTCAGAAAATGATTGCGATGAAAACTGAAGCAGAGCTCTTTGGCGACGAACCGGAAAATTCTCAGATCGATGATGAGACAGAGGGAGACGGCAGACAAGATGATTCAGAGAACGAAGACGAAGCTACGGCGGATACGGACATGCCTGCAGAAATGACGGTCGAGAGGAAGGATATAAAAGAAATGGCACATGGAAGCGAGGATATATTTCTTGAAGAAAAAGAGCAGAAAGTCAAGAAGCACAAGGTCTTGAGAATCACCACGGCACACGAGTCGCACATTCAACCAAAATCAAGACAATATAAGAGTATTTCGAAGACACCTCATGGTAAAAATAGAAATGTCTACAAGTGTTTCGAAACCGAAGGAGTTGATGGTTCTCTGGAAGAAGATGACGAGATGGAACAAGAAGGTATCCATGATCTTGTTAGATACAGTGTGAAATATGGCGGCAATACCCTCAAGTCTACTTCTACATGGGCGAGTGTTGTTGGCTACAGCTCAATCGGCACTACAAGTACTGCTAAGAAAGGAAAGAGAATTATTACAGATCGAAAAACCGTCCCTCCTCCGGTTGAAGATGGCGAGTGGACCACGGTTACGAAGAAAGGAAGGAAGAATTGATGTATGGATAAGATACAGGTTGGCAGAATCTGCGATGGAGGATTTGTTACAACTGGTGCTATTTTGATGGTGTACATTTACAATATGGCTTGCTTATTTTGCAATGTTTGCCCTCCACTTTTCACATTGCTTTTTGATGGCTTTCATACTTTGCTATTTCCAGAGAGATGGTAAAGTAGCGGTGAACTTAGGGAGAGACCATGAGGCTACGAGCTCGCGAGGTGGTTGAAAAGCGTGCATAAATGTCATTGGTCAATTTAGTTCACTTCACTACTTTAAATATGTAGCACCAAGATGAAAGATCATTCTCATCAAAAAGCAATGTATACACTGCAATAAGAAGGACGTGAAAACTTATGTGTGTTTGTTATGAAACCTCTGTGTATTTATGGACAGTTGATATTACAATGATTGTGTAAATGGAGAGGCAGTGCAATGAAGTAATGAGACGAGGAAAGATGAGATGAAATAAAGAAAAGAGAGAATCGAAGTGGTGAACAGATGAAATTACGTATTTGTAAATTAGGATTGGGGTTTAGAGTTAGGTAAATAGTGATGCTTTGTACTAGGTGAGTCTGTGCATTGATTTGGAGAAGGTGAGAATACCTACCTAGGTGAGGTAAGTAACGATAGATTGTTATGTTATGCGGGATCTGGGTTGTGAAGGATGGGGAACGAGGAAAGAGTTTAGGGGGTTGGAGAGTTGGGGTTGTGTGTATGGATTTGGGGATTTGGGGATTTGGGATTTGGGATTTGAAGATTAAGGATTGGGTTTGGGATTGTGTGTATGGGTTTGGGACTTTGAGGTTTGTTTGAGTTTGGGGTTTGAGATGTGTCTTCGAGAGTGGGTAGGTATGTGCTTGTGTGTAGATATGTAGATATGTAGATATGTAGATATGTAAATACTAGGTGTGTGGTTTGGGGGGGTGTGAGATGGGAGATGGAAGATGTGGGTTGATGTGGGTTTTATTTTTGGGGTTTATTTTGAGTTGTTGAGTTGGTAGGGGTTGCTTTTGGGGTTTCTTTTGGGGTTGCTTTTGGGCAGGGAGAGAGGAATGAAGGGGGAGGGGAAGGGGATGGAGGGAGGATTCTTGGGAGGAGGTAGGAGGGATGGGAGGAGGGAAGGGGATGGAGGGAGGATTCTTGGGAGGAGGTAGGAGGGATGGGAGGAGGGAAGGGGACGAGTTTGAAGATTGGAGATTGGAGATTGAAGATTGAAGATTGAAGATTGAAGATTGAAGATTGAAGATTGTTGGGGGTGGAGATGCGGGTGAAGGTGCAGGTGGAGGTGATGGATATTTGGATATCTGGATTGGGGTGGACTGAATCGTATGGTGGACGAGGATGCGGAAATGAAGATGAGGATAGAGGGTGCTTCGTAGGTTTGGAAGTTTGGAAGAGCTGGGAAGGGGATGAGATGGATAGAGGAAGTGAAGCAATCGAAGCAACCGAAAAAAATCCAAAAAGTAGAGATATCGATATCTTTAGGAATAACCTGTAAGGAAGAGATCGCTATTGTTGTTGTCGATATTGCTAGTATTGATGATTTTGTGGATGGTGGTGAAGGAATTAAGAGCTGCGAGTCAAGAATTGAGAAGGAGGGTGGAGATAGAAATAGAGATGGAGATTTGGGAATTTGAAAAGATCAGAGGATGGGAAGGTTGGGGAAATTGGATAAGGGAGATGGGGGGATTTGATTGGATTGGATGTTCGGAGCTTGGTAGCCTGATAGGTAGGGTGAGTATGGAGGGAATGAAGGAGGAGGGATGGGGTAGAATGTAAGATAGCATGTGATAGATTGGTAGGTTGTTCGGCAGGTAGATAGGTAGGTTGGTAGGAAGGGGGAAATGGTGGATATTTGGACAGTGTAGAATGAAGGATGGGGGATGGGGGTAACATCTGCTGCGTGAGTGGATGGGTGGGTGGTTTTTATTTTGATATTATGTGTATGGGATGTTTCCAAATTCTGAATCTGGGAGCTGGAATCAAAGGATCAATTATGGTAGTCAATGGAGGGCGGGGGCTGAGAGATTGAGGAAAATTATGGGTGAGAGTTTGGGTTTACGTTATTTGTACTTTGTTATTATGATTGATGGTAAGCCATTCGTATTCTAAAATAGGATGATTTTCTGCTTGTGTGAAGCTGTGATGGCGGGGTATACTAAACTGTACAGATACAAGTCTTTGACTGATAGTATGAGAAATGAATATGTTTGTACTTCTTCCTCGTACTCGTACTTGTATAAATATGAGAGATATCTTGAGAAGATACATGAGAAATGGTGTTTGAGAAAAAAGTGCAGAAGTCTAGCCTGTTCTTTTCTTGGGAGATATCAAAATGGTCCGATGAAATCTTCCGCATTGCTGCTCAGATGCAAAGACAATATTCAAATTCATGCTCAGGAATTGACGGTGTACCAAGTACTTACAAGTGACATACCCATACTCACTCCAAGTAGCTTTGACATTCTAGTGTCGCCTTGTAGGATGTGAAAGGTTTCGGTCCGGATCTGATATTGATATTTCTGCATCCATACATGCATGGATAGACTCACTTGCGCAGTATACTCGCCGTGCTACCTGGACCTATGAGAGATATATGTAGGAAGGCACTTGTAACTCGGGAAGTTTGTTCGTTCCGTTCAGTATACCTCCGTACGGCACTTGACAAGAAGGAAAAAAACTCGCCGAGTCTTTGGTGCTACGTCCGATGCGCGTAAGAAAATATCTTGGGGGGAAAGTTTGTCGAATAAAGAAGAGCGCAAGTTAGGAGGAGGCTAAGTTTGAAGAAACTCGGCTACAAGAGAAGTCGGTTTCACTTCCTTTTGCAAGTATGCTTGCTATCAGATGAGAAAGATAGATGTGTGGCGGGATTTTAATTGGATTCCCAAGACCTACGTGATGCCGTACCGTTACCCTGCCATTCGGCGACCAACATTATCCCTATAGTTATACCTTGTCATCGGGATGTTGCATGGCTGGAAACTCGAGGATTTGAGTTTCGCCAGGTAAATGGATGAAATGGTACCGTATATGTAGGCCGGCGGCTCCATGCGTTGTTTGGTTGCACAGATATAGCACTTTGATGTTACATGGTGTCAAGCTCAAGGATCAACCTCAAGGATGAGGATAAATCTCTGGAAAGATATTCGTGGATCTCGATGATAGGTAAGGTCCATTAATATCAACGTTGTGAAACTTTGATATTTGAGATGTATGAAGAGGGGGAACTCGAGCCACGAATCCGTATCTCGATTCCTCCTCTCTTGGCCAATAATCATGCTGTGCCTTTACAAGGGACGAGTTTGTTTGTATAATGTAGTTCATCCCCTTTTCATGCTGTATGATTTCGGGTCTTTGCACTGACGGGGTGAGTTCGGATTCGGCAAAGGAAAATATATTTCCATGCCGCTGTCGTATAACAGAAACTGTTACCCGTGGAGACTTGACGGTCACATTACCACGACTGTTGGGCTGGGGACGATAAAGTAACCTTTATCATAGTATTTGACAGGGTGAGGTACTTTAATGGTTGTAACGCGGGGCGTTTTTTGTCATGAGTCGGAGTCGTTCAAATTTTGTTGATGTAGACTATGATTGGGTACATCACTATGTAGCATTTGAGATTCCGTGACATCGGAATAGACTCCTGTTATTTAGCGGGAGTGCTGATGAATTATGGCTGCGGAGACTGAATTTACGGTTGATTTATTCAAACTCAAGAGATTGAATAATTGGTCCACACCGCATGTGTACTTGTAAAACATTCACGCTCCGAGGTGGATGTGCTGTATCGTATTGTACCGAAAATAGTCGACCATCTCGAGTTGAGCACAAACACGAGATGAACTCATGGATAAGGATAAGGCTGAGGATCTTACTGGGGGCTTTCACGGAGGATCGTTGGCGTGGCTGGTGGTTTGGGGGTACGAAAAGGGATGCAAACGAGGTGCGTGCGAACTATATATATGCCAATCACGAAACGCCAGGATGAAAGGAAGTATCAAAGTCAAGAAAAGCTCAACGTAGAAGAAGTACGTTTGTGCCTTGGAACATTTGTTTCTCCCTGGTTTATTGCATGTACCACCGATGTCCTTGAGTAGGAATTTGACGCAGCGATTATAGACGCGGGAGGTGACCAAGATTGGAATATCCATGCCGCTATTCAAATCCGATAGACATTTTTAGCATCGGAGTTGGGATTGTACAATAGTCCGATGGTCAGTGGCAATTCCGTTCCACGAATCCCTTGACAGGGTACACGTTCGCCTGCATTCTGGAAGCGATAATGAGGAGCGGGAAAAAGCAAATGTAGAAACACATCTCATCTGTATGGAAGGTGATTGGGTGAGAATACAGTTTAGTGTGACCGTATACTTAGATCTGCCAGCAGATGACCCAGGTACATATAGCGGTTGTGTTCTGGAGAAATGGAAGCGATGAGCATTGAGGACTATAAATGGTCTAGAACGATCCTTTGAGGTCTATGGAAAGAGGCTTTCGTTGAGGAGGTGAAATGTGATTGAAATGTGGTCGCCGGTGAACAAATTGTTCCCGGAGATGAATGTGATGTGATATGTGATGCTGCCCACTTCCATGGTTAGAAGCTTACGTTGTTGATGTTGATTGTGAAGAAGATTCAGTAGGTATCTAGGTAGGTAGGTGATATAATTTGCAACTCTACACACTCTACTCTGTGCTCTGTACGTACATGGCATATACTTCGTATACCTACGCATAGGATCAGATAATACATGTTAGAATCTTGCTTACATAATTCTCTGTACTAGGTGTTCACTTCTCGACCAAGTACCCAGATAGGTTTAGACAGTCTCTGCTAGTCTTCATGTCTCGTGACCTCTATCTCATGTGTTGCTCCGTAATATTGGACATTCGAATCAATCGGAAGATGAGTGAAGTGATACCCGGCATGTTGGACCAACGGCCGTTTACCTTTTTTCTGCTTACCTGCCTCGATACCAAGTTCCAACCGTACCAGCCTGCGCGATGCTAGGGAAGTACGAAGGACGTATGGTGGGACATGCCAGGAAGATACCGATAAGTAATTCAATTTTTCGACCCTGCATTAAATCTTTGATCAGAGATACCCTAACCGAGCCAATGAAAAATAAGATAATGTGAATGACCACGCTAAGATAATGTAGCTTACGCTAATCGCAATAGAACCACTCTTTATGCGTGAGTGACGCTTGCCTCTCCAGGACTCCAAGGTGTTTCTTGAATAAGAGGAGCAAGTGCTACTGTATGCATAACTTACCTAGGTAGCGATCAATTTCTAACCTTACTGACTAGCTGGGTATTAACTAAAGCCTTTTTCTACTACGACCTTGCTGCACGAGTACCGACCATCAAAAAAAACTCATTGGAATATTCCAAAAAGCCATTCGTACAACAGGAATCCCCCTTCACACCGACCACACCGTCCACACCGTCTCAAGGGCGAAGAAGAGTTCAAAACATCTTTGTACTTCACCATTCTCAATACCGTCTTCCTCACTTGTTGTCACTACCACCGTGAAGGGAAGGAGGATATTCTTGAGGATATTCGTTCATTTCATTCAGCCTCTATCCCCCCCCCTGACTTTATAGTAATCATCTCACCGATATTTGGATTCTACAAAGTTTCACACATTACAGATTATGGATGATAAAAGCCACACATTCGAATAAGGAAAAGAGAACAACGACGAGCAAATTCAAGGAGCAAAGAAGAAAGAAAGAAAGAAAGAGTCTTTTGAAACATCCGAAAGGGGGAGGAGAGGAAGGTTGACGTTGGTCACTGGACTTTATCGAATCAATCTTCAGTCACGGATATCAGTGAGAGCAAGCAAGCAAAACTTGTGTCAGACAAGGAATTGGGCTTGCATGAGTGAAGTTAGATCAAATCGCAACCGCTCAATCCTTCCTCATATTATCAACCTCAATATTCCTTTTCTCGTGCTCGAAATTCCGGAGATCACGGCGATCATTTTGATCCAAAAGCCATTAAATCCAAGCGCATTCAGGTAGGTAACACAGCACGATATCTCAACACTTGTATTTTCCGTCACTCTACCCCCTTTTATTTGGTTCTGGAGCCTTTACTAGAGCAAAAGAGGTTGATCGCATTGCCATTGCTCCCATTCAACAACGGCAAAGTCGAAGTTTGCGTAGTGCATTGTAGGCTCTGTTTCCCGCTCCAATATAAACTTGGCCCGTGCAACCGCAAATCACCATCACGACCACAACATAGAGAATTGCATTATTGTTAGTTAGCACTTGGAATTTGCATAGCTTACTCGTTTTGGGTCAAATCTATTTTCAATAACCATTACCACGTTGTCAAGCTAACTTTCCACTCAATCAGGCCCTTTCTTTGGACAACAGGCTTTCAATCCTCATCAGGAGGTCTAGTCCCGAGTCTCCAGGACGGAACCCTCGAATTATCTTCAGGGCCTTCTGGATCTTTCGAGCGTTGATTGGGCTCCAATTTCATTCGAGGAGTAATTTCCAGTATTTTCACAGCATTCCCGAATAAGCACCAATCTTTACTGCATCTCACCCTAGCAACTTGTATTTTCTGGCGCAAGTAGGTAGAGCTCAAGAGACCAAGCTGAGATTCAAAGGCAATCTAACCCTGCCTCCTCATACGCATCCAAACGTCGGTAGAATAACCTCATCGGCGACCATATCATTTCGCTACCCAGCTACATTTGCACCTGGAGATTAAAGAATAATCGACATCACCTTCACGCTAATTCAATAGCAAAGTCTTTCTCTCTATCCAAACGCGTTACAGTGCTCTCCACTTCATAAAGAGCATTACAACAACTCGATTCTTGCTTTTGAGAGATTTCTCATCATATCTTTTGACGTTAGCTACTGCTTCCTCTCCGCTCGTCAGAAATCATATATTTTCGAGACACGTCAACGTTTTCAGAAAGCCATATGTGCTGCGCACTTCAAACAGCTCCTTCGATTGGCTTCAAGTCGGATCATCCTTTTGACAATATGAGTAACAGAGGCTCAACATCTCCGCATCAACGGAGGCAAGAAGTGATACCTGTTCGATCGGCTGCTGCTGCAATGGAACAGCTTCGCAAAGAAGAGTATGAAGCAGGCAATCAATTAATCGGAACCGCGAACTCTTCAAGATACGACGATCAGCGTCAACAAGAAAGGGATCACACCCATAGCATCTCATCTAATTCCGAGTATAAAAACTCGGATAGAATTATGACTACTGGTATTCCAGTAAATCACCACAGTCCTAGGGATACCTCGTTGGAGCGGAGTCAGAGAGAGGGTTCCCAGGCCAGCGCCCCTGCGTCGTCCCCAGGCGTGGAGCAGATTCAATCTAATCAAATATGCAGGTATGGAAGACAATTACTTTGTAGGTAGTTGTGACTAACATTTTGAAGTAATTGTGGCACAACTAGAACACCACTTTGGCGAAGGTCTCCGCAAGGAGCAACTATTTGCAATGCCTGTGGCTTATATCAAAAGGCTCGCAATGCTTCTCGACCAACAAATCTCAAGCGCCCACCAACCACTGCCCCTATCGGTTTTTCTGGAGATCAACTGGAATCTCCCTCTGCAAACGGGTCAATTTCACTTCCTACTGCTGGCGCAACCTATGTTTCTGCAGATCAAACTTCCACAGGAACATGCCCTGGCGGTGGACGTTGCAATGGTACTGGAGGCGCCGAAGGCTGCGGCGGATGTCCAGCTTTCAACAACCGTGTCTCAAAAAGCGCTCATTTTACTTCTTGTCAAGATAGACAATCAACACAAACACCACAGCCGCAAAATGATCAACCAACAGATGCGCCGTCTCCGATTGACGTTGCATCCCTCCAGTTACAATCACAAAATACTACGGTCGTTGTAGCTTGCCAAAACTGTGGAACTACCATCACACCGCTCTGGCGTAGAGATGAGAGTGGTCATACGATTTGTAACGCTTGTGGTAAGTTTATCGACAAGCTAGAAGTACATCCGAACTAACACATGATAGGGCTGTATTATAAACTCCATGGTGTGCATCGACCAGTGACTATGAAGAAATCAATCATCAAGCGTCGTAAGAGGGTAGTCCCAGCAGTTCAAGGTTCTCAAGCTTCCAGCTATGAAACCAGTAGTACAATGGATTCTCCAGATTCTGATCGTGCTTCACCCGAAGAGGTAGTTGAGCGAGGCACAATAAATCCTGACGGATCAGTGAATTTGGGTCTTCGTTTACGCAACGATCCAGGAAGAGCTCTACCCGAACCAATCCGGACACAAAATGGTCAGCATCAGCATCAACAACATCCGCCATCTGATCTTGGCGCCTATACATCCAATCCAAATTATCAAGGCCAAAATCTCGACTCCTTGACTAATGATAATCGACTACCGCCAATGGCATCGTATCCTTCGCCAGTCTATAATCGACTTTCCGTATCGCCAAACAATTATCTCTCCCCTTCTCGAAAGCGGTCGTTCTCCGCTACCGATATGGACCCAAAAAATTCACTCTCCTCGGAATCTGCACACGCATCGACCTTACCTAAGCGTCTCTCGTCCATAAAATCGATATTAAATCATGGCTTCACAAGTTCCGATTCTGATGTTAATCCCGAAAATGACCTTAGCTTCCGCCGCGGAACCGATAGTCTGAGATTAAGTCCAAGCCGATATTCCGCCGCTGTTAGCCCGAGTCTTAGTACCGTTGGTCCAGCTACTTATTCAACCAGTCCCTCGGGTAGTGGAGCTGGGAGTGCACTGAGCAGTGCGAAAGACCCGGCAAGTGAAAGCGATCGCGCAAAAACGGAGAGGAGGGAGATGCTACAGAGGGAAGCGGAAAAGATGAGGGAGGCTCTAAAGGCCAAGGAAAGAGAATTGGCTGAACTGGGAATCGGGTTGGATTAATATTTACCCGCCAACCACACTAGCCTTTCCGGCAAATTGGACGAAAAAGAAAGCTACGAAATTACGAACGTGCGTTTACTTTGTGAATTTTCTCGCGGGTTTGTTGCAGATATGGGAAAGAATACAATGAGCACGGAACGGGAAAGGAAAGTGAGTAAGAATAGGGGTATGGGAGTGAGCAAGTTTGTCTTTGAGGACTGGGCCACACACTGCATGATGGGAGTTTACCAGGGGTTCTTTTGGGGGGGGGGGGGGGGCATTACATAATCGGAATGGGATGGGATACAGATACCCCTCTGCCATTTAATGAATAGGGGATTTCATTATACTTGTTATCAATGTAACTTTGGAATGGCAAGAGGCGTGCAGGATTTCTCTTGGGTATATCTTCAGCGCCAGGTTTGGGCTTTTGATATTGGGAGTGCTAGATGCACAAATTTGCAACTCTAATGTATACATGGAAACAGACACAGGGTTCTAAGGCTCAGGCAAGCAAGATAGGTGCAGGTAGTTCCAACGGAACGAAAAATGACAGAACAGACCCTCTATATATGCAGTCCAATGAGTCTCAGCAAAATGAAAACATTATAATCAATAATATAATCTCTAGTTCAAAGTCTCACAATGTGGATTTTGTAATTTCCCGGCTTTGGATTTTGTATCTTGCTTTTATTGAAGACTGACAGACGTACATACATACACACGTGAGAAATAATAAGGAGATACTTCAATAAGTCACCGCCCACTCTAAAGCTAATCTGAGTCGGTGATTCGATAAAAGAGAGGTAATATGTTATGTAATACAAGGCTGTTTTTCTGGAAACTCGCGTCTTTAGCATCAATAAATAGATGATGGCAAAGGTAGCATTTGCGAGAGAAGAAGTAGATGCGGTATCGAGGTATTGTGCGTATCGTAGGAGATATGGACGATATCTTGTTTGAGCTGAGTGATCGCGCGTGGGGAGCCTTGGAACTCGAAGAGAGGTGGAGGTGTGCGATGTGATTAGACTTGTTCGGCGCCCCATCCTCCATCTGCTTCCCTGTTTGTTGTGATAATCATTAGTAAAAGGTCTTGGATGATTTGTACTTGTACAAAGCGAAGCAATATGGGAAATAAAATGGGCATTTACCTCATGTTTGCAGGAGGCTCGATAGATGGAACAAACTCGAGACCAATGTAAATAAGACCGATTATGCCAATTAAAGAACCGGCAATGATGCGCAAGACGTGATCGTGTAAGAGAATGGATCCAACGAATACGTAGACTAGGTTTGGGTGTTAGTTTGCGCGGTTTGTGGTGGGTATTGTATATGGGGATGTGGAGTGTGACGTACAAATTCCGCGTCCGACGAAGGAGAAGAGGAAAGATGCATAGCGCGAGACTTGTGGTGGGATTTGGAATTCTATACTTTGGTATTAGTGACATGTGCGACATATTTGGCAGGCTCATTTGAGGTCGAAATAGGGGTGCGATGAGATGGGATGGCTGTGAAACTTCGAGCTTGAGGTGGGTGAGACGGACCAAGAAGAGCAGTGCCTGGGAGATTTCGTGTTAGTAGATTTCGTGAGGGGGACGATATGGTATGAGGATGACTTACAGATTCCGAAGATGATAACATAACATCCAATGATAATAGATTGGCTACGATGATGTTAGCATGTTTCTCGATACTTGTTGTCGCATGGATGTTTAGATTACTTACAAGCCTAAAGGAAAGAATTGGGAAATTCCACCAAGAACCATAAAAACACCTACTGCCAAATTGACAAGTCGGCTAAGAAGAATACATGATTAGTCTCGTGTTCAATTATGGACTTTGAATTGGCACATTCAGTCGCGGACGCGGGGCGGTAGGGATTGCTGTGGTTGAGGGCTGGGGAGAGCTCTTGATGGATGGAGCCTTGGAGCTTCCAATCAAATCGACTTTTATCATTTTCGACTTTCATCGTCTGCCATGACCCAATCGAATGAATCTACCAAGAAGTGCCATATATTCTTGAGCTCAAGCTCCAGCTGTAGCCTCAATCCCTCAACCATCACCAATCGATCCAGCCCTCAAGCTCAAGCTCAAAATTCAAAGCCGCGCAACAAGCACAGTGCAAGCAAGTTTGGGAAACTCACAAAGCATCAGAGTAATCCATCGTTGCGATAGTATGAGGATTTCCGTATTGATAAGGTATCTTTCGTTCGTGGAGACGTGAGGGATCGTAGAGTTTCCTGGAATTGGACGTGGTCGTTGTGGTTGTAATGTGTTCAGTAGATAGGCAGCATCAGAACAGATGAAGATCTTTGAAAGCTGGTGCACGCACCTCCTGTACCTCATTTCATCTGCGATGGAACACAAAGATGTTGCCAAGAATTTATAAAACAAAGGGTACGTGAATTAATAAATTGGGTATATATTGGACTTGCTAGCAATATAATTTTTTTAATTCTTTTTATAAATCTTCCTACCAAGATCATAGATGAATTGTTATATCATTCGTATAGTATATTTAGCTGATGGTTGTTTCTTCTCCAATCTCTTGAAGAGAGAAATATTACAGTTGCATCATTTGTTCATTCATTTTTCCTAGCATGCACTGCATCCTTCTGCGACATTAATATGTCATATATCTTTCCTTCACCTCTCCCATTACTTCAAAAGAAACACAGACATCAAATTCATGCCTTTCGATAGAAACTCGGATTCGATGCCAATCAATCAACCAAACATTACTTTGATCAAAATGCCGTTACCTCTAGTAGAGAATCTTGATGGACTCAAAAAGAGCTATTCTGAAATACATCATCGTTGAGAGCAGTATTCGTACCGACTTATACTGATCTTGCAAGGTCGAGGGGGTTTCATATCAGTGTGAGAACTTTGTTATTCTGGTTGTCTGTCTGATTCACACCCTCCTGTCGTAGGAGCTCATACTAACTACCGGAACATTGGATGCCCGCAATTCAGAGATGCTTGATGCAACATATCGTTTCTGTATGTTTTAGAACACCGGTGATGTGCCTAGATCCGTCATACGCTACATAGATTCCCGAAGAAGCTTCATCAATCAGTCAGTTGCCATAGGCTTCAGAAGTAGCTAGAAGTTTGAATTCAGACTTTGCTTTTTCCTGAGTTTCATTTCTCAGTCGCTGAGTGAAGGGCATGTATCTCTTGCTGATATAACCCGAGATGAGTTCGTCTGCGCATTTCGTGTTGGTTAGCAATCTGGTAGGTAATTGTTACGCGCAAGTTACTAGACCAATCTCTCGGGGTGAGTTGGGAAGAAAGCTAGAGTTCCAAGTACAAAGTTTGAGTGTGGATAATTTCCCCATTTCTTCCATCCTTCCCATGTATAGGAACGTCCATGATACTTCTACTTGTTGTTCATGCTAAAAGCTCGATACCTTGGGGTAGTTCTTCAATTGATATATACTCTTCAAGACACTTTTGTATGGAGTCTCAACAGGTCGTTCTGTTTGCAATATCAGATTTGAAATTGTTTCATCTGAAACTGCCCAAAAAGAGGGCCAAGATCAAAAGCGTTGATGAGCATGGTCATGATATACAGGGCAGAACGAAAATCAAATACAACCTAAGTGCAAGGGATTCGAAAGAGAGTGAAGCTCCAAGACCGCTCACTAATGGTCACATCGAGCGAGTATAGGAAGGTTTTCAGGTGAGGCATGAGTAGTTAACAGGCTCACAGGCTAAATATCATCAACAAATCGGTGACAAAGATGCCGATGTAGCTTCGTCGTCGCCCAATCAATCATCATGCATACCACCCGACTCTTGACATACATACAATACTACAACCAGGAGATCCGACACCGATACCGAAACATACGATGGCTTTTTGTTTTGATTTCAGCTCCCTTTCCCATTCCCATTTTCTTTTTTCCTCTTTTCCTCTCTCTCCCACCCCATCTTATAACAAGGTCTGCGTAGGTCTTGTTTTTTTTCTTACCAAGCTTCTTAAATGATCTCCCTATGGCCTGCTATGGATGCTCATATGACGAGTAATACCTATATTCTTCAAACATCCTCACCTGTTCTCAGCTTTTTTGACTTACCCCTCAAAATTCGCGACGACATCTACCATAAAGTGCTAGTTGTACCTCATGGAATATATTTTTTTCAGGTCTATGATGATGCGGTCAAAACGGTGATCCCAGAGAGGCCAGGCCGATGGCTTGCATCGCTGTACACCAATCGAAAAATGCGCGAGGAGGCTAGCGTTGTGTTTTATGGACGAAATCGTTTCGTCTTTATGGATACAATGGGATGTCAGACCAAACTCTTACAGTCCTTTCTACACCTCGTTGGACCGGTGAACGCAATTCTTATGTCTCAAATCTGCATTAGTTTTCCCTCTATGGAGAACGTCAAAGACGGGCCAGCAGAATATGCGATCAGTGAAGATGATGCAGATAGTCTGAAGCTTCTTCGACAATTCACCAATCTGACAACTTTAGAAACTCTACTGTATAGCTTCAACCCGATATGCAGAACGGAAGCGAATCAGGATGCTCACCACTCACAATTTGTTCAAGGCGCGTGCTCGCTTGTTGATACGCAACTGAGGATCGCCATACCAACACTGCGCAAAATCGTCATCGTGTTTCATGAAATGATCCCGAAGAATGAGATGGTGGATTTAATGCACCGCTTTCGGTGGATAATCTGGCGAACTGATAAGAATGGTATGGTTATCAGGCGAAATGAAGGAGAATTATGATAGCAAGAGAGGAGGAGCAAATGTAGACATGGATCGTTACCATAGTCGTGTTGCTTGGGCATTTTAGAGAACACAAACTATATCATTGGTTATGACTCGAAGGACAATCGTTGGAATTACAAGATCTGTTCGCCAGTTTCGATTTCATTGGCTTACCTATTCAGAATCAGAATACAATAAGCGGGCAAAAGATCGTGGTGCTTGCTTCAGTCAGACGGATCGTTTAGGGAAAGGGGGCTGACGCGATGGGGATTCGGCATACACAAGGTTGTTAAAGTGGGCATGGAGAATGTATGAAATTACTTGAGACAATTATTAAGACAATAGTTAACTCTACTATTTCCCACTGACCCACTTGGGATATGTAAGAGCGACATCAAGTTAATCGTGCTCAAAGTCTAGACTTGGATCCTAAAACCTCTTCAACAAGCTCCACAGTTCCTTCTGAACATCCATAAGAGGCCTGATAACCCCAACCCCCATGTCCATAATTATGAACTACCCATGTAGAATCAATCTTCTCCTTCTCAATCCTCACTCCACTCAATCTCAACGGTCGTAGTCCCACTCCATGACGTATAACACTCAAAGCTTCAATACCTTTTCCATTCGTCAAAGCAGGACATAACTCCACAGCTCGCTTCATGATTCGCATAGCCTGGTTCGGACATGGTTGGGATTCCCAGTTTCCTTTCTGATACGTGCCTCCCAGAATTGTTCCACCGCCAGCTGCACGCTTCATGATATAACATACCTCATCGTCTCCATCGTCGGTACCGGAAATCGTCAACATAACACCAGGATCATTACGTACGAGTACGATTTGACCTCGGACTGGAATAACATCTTTGTCCATAACACCGCCAAGTTTCGAAGCTAAAAGACCTGTACAGTTGACGATCACATCAGCTTTGCTATCGGAGTGATGAAGATCGCCGGCTTCGGATATGTGACTGATAATGCTGCGTTGAAGTTCAACACCGTTCTTTAGACATTGACCAACGAGGTAAGACAGATAGACAGCTGTATTGATGCAAACTGATGTGAATGCGGTTGCACTATCCGCACCATCCGGGATCTCGTTTTGTGGTAATACACGGAAATCAGGGACAACATCTTTGAACCAAGGATCAGTGGAGAGTAACTCATTGAACCATTGACCTGTAGTTCCCTGTGCATCCTTATTGCGGTTCAAAATCACAGTGTCTGATGGAGTCAGTAAAGAGTCATTTCAAAAGTGGGAGGGTCATAGGAACTTACTTTGGAAATGGATGCCGGCTTCTGGGACCTCTTTCGCTAGTCTCGCGAGTTCATACCATGTTCGCTTCTCCCATCTACAATCGGATGCATTGGATATTCTTTAAATTGAGTATTAATGTCTCATGTCTCATGTCTCATCCGATTCTGTCCGAACAGAGAAATGGTAAATTGTGACTCACGGAAGATAATTTGCACCGGCCCATGGAGATGTATACTCAATGTCATAATCACCAGGCATATGCTTTGCGACAATGGTGACTTTGAAGTTGGGGTTTTGGGATAAGAGTAGAGCGGTGGTTAAACCGGACACTCCCGCGCTGCAGAGACGTCAGTCACCATGAGTTACTTTAGGAAGATAAGAAAGAAAGGGTTGAGAAACCAACCCAACAACCACAATATTTGGCATTGTAAATATAGCTGTTGACCAAGTTTTGACAACAAAATTCAAGAGCTTGAAGAGAAATAGAAACAAAAGATATCTCACTTGGGATATATTGAAAGTGGAGCGTTGTGACACAGGAGATATTCCGGAGATAATCCGAGGCTCGAGCGTTTTCGTGATATCAACTTCTCGTGCCAAGAATATTCTTCTGGATTCTTTTTCAAAACATCTCTTTTATATATGCTTCTAAATATCTTCAAAACTACTGCCTAAACGAATCCCACCCTGCCGTACATGTATATGCAAGCCACGTGCTACATTGGGCAAGTGCTTCGTGTCTCTCAAATCATACACTGACTAAACTTTCAGCCCTATCATGATGGCGGAGTTCGAACTCCGCATTTTGAACGGTGGTTTAAAAGTCTGAAAGTCTGTATGCTAGGTGTGTACTTTGCAATGGTCTGGATGGACTTTCTTTTTCACCAGAAGGGACTGCTTTGTTTTTTTCGCTGCATCAAGTGTACAAAGGATACCTGAATTTCGGTCGTTTCTTTCCTTGTGATGTACAATAGAAAGACTGTTCATAATCTTCTGAGGGAGCTGTTGTACCCCAATCTTCTTTCTGTTTTAAGGGAATCGCCTTTTGAGTGTACTTTCGGATGAGATATTTGGAAATTTCAACAATCACATGGTGATCTGCCATCGTGTAATCAATCGTGTACGGACTCATCCGGATGAGTTCAAACCATTCCTCATAACATCTCCAGACAGGAGCTTCGCCAGGTGCACTGAGAGAGTCGGTAACGGCTGTCCTCTCTCTGTCAGTGACGAAGCGGGAATGGCTGTAAAAGCGGACTGAGTAGTTCGGAAGTACCTGAAGAAAACGTCGAAGACGGGTGAACGGTTCACCCAGCTCAAGCTGGTTGCTTTTGCGAAAAAATTTGGATTGATGTCACCATATCGGACAATGTCAATCCGGATCTGGTAATCGTTGAGCAGAAAGGAAAGCGCGCTAAGCACCACGTGCACATTACGTCTTACGTATGTTTCTATCCTCCTATGGCAGACCAAAATGCCAACAACCTCTCGTTATAGGCTGTCAGCAGTCACTACTCTTCTCTTCGCAACTCAGGCGGACCACTTCCAGAGACGCCTACCGTCAAATATGATGTGAAAGTAGAGGTCACTTGTTTTGCGACCATGCCAAGCAAAAGTGGAGACGAAAAGATGACAGCAGTACCATAGTGAAGGAAAGGGTCGAGGACTTAAGCGACAAAAGTGCAAACCTGTAAGGGGGATGTCGGCATAATGAAATAAGCTAAAGGTGCTTGAGCATACTTCTTTCTTCCGTGGTTTCTCCAATGCCTTATCTAATTAGAAAGATGAACCTGAAAATTTATAAGATCACAAAACTCACCTCATATCTCAAATTTTGACTAGCGTTTATAAAATGATTGGAGTTGGGCATTTTTGATTGAGGGGAAGGTTATGCAAATATTTATGATCATTTGGGACTGGAATTGAGACCCGGAGACCTAACGAAATCATCATCATGATAAGATATTTTTCGACACAAAGATACACTGAAAATTTCCTTGTAGTGTATGGTGTTTCCAGTCCATGATCAATAAAACAAACATCCTTCTACAAACTTAATGATGAAGGTTAAGCATGTGTATTGCCGGCTTTGTGATAAGTATAAACTACAAGGATGATGATAACTGTCTTGATTTCAATGTCCAAACCCTACCACTGATACAAACCAGCGGTTTCTATCTTAATATATACCGCACACTAGTCCTCAAGCTTCAATCTCTGAATTGAAGAGAGAAGACACATCCAACTTCCTTGAAGTTCTCATGGATGTTATGACTCCGATGCTGGAAATAGAAATGCTGAGAATTATGTCACATTAACTTCCAAATGCTTGATATGTTACAGGTTGATTTGTGCCACGTCGATGCTTAGGAAGCTATTCGCAGGAGGAAAGGCAGACCGGGATTAACGATTAGCAGAACCCTTCATCAATTCAGTTGTTCCAATTCAATTCGGAGAATTGATATTTTGAATTATGCTATGATTGAAAACTACACAATATTCCATTCATACTCTTCATTCTTGTAATTCTACTTGTGATTGATTTATTGTAGAATTTATTCCGTTGATCAGTTCTGGCATCTTTTCCCTCCGCAAATGAGGGAGCTACTGTTCACGTGATACTATTTCTTCAGTGGCTGCACATGCCACATGTCCACCAGTAGATACACAGACTCACAGGACAACATAATAGGAAAACACAATTTCATATTCAAATTTATCAACTTTAAAATTCAATTAAAATTCAAAATTTTATTTAATCTTATTCAAATTAAAATATATAATTTTTAAGTATAAGAATTATATAGAATTTAAAAATCGAATTTCAAAAAGAAATATTGAACTTCAAAATTCAATAGTACATTTTCCTATTAAAATTTTTGATAGGAAATTATATAATGGATTATATAAACTTTAATATCTATTTTAATAATATAATATTTTTATTATATAGAATCCTTAAGCTTAAAAACTATAATATTCAATTTCAAAGAAAGATATCAATTGTTTAAATTTTAATTGAATTATTAAAATTGTATTTTTTGGTGTGAAATTGTGCTTTCTTCTTTAGTGTCCTGTGAGTCTGTGCACCCACTGGTGGTCCAGGTTTCCTCTTAGGTAATCTGGACTTCACTTCATCTGAGATTACTATAACTTCCCTTCCCTTCGTCTCATACCACTTCTTCATCCCCGCTCTATATCTGTAAAAAAATAAAAAATAAAAAAATAAAAATGGTGGGTGTGTGGATCAGATTTCATCCTGGAAATGAGAAGATCAATCAATCTTTTCATGAGACATTGTCACGCAAAGTATATGGTTGTGGCTTAAGGAATGGCTCAACTCCATTAAATTATTATTCTGATATAAGTAACATCTAGTGAGTCAAATTTATGACCCGCTACATTTCAGATCAGTCTTTTATTTCTAAGCTGCTGAACTTCTTCTCTTCTCTTTCAAGTACCCACGTCCATTTGCATCCACGCAACACCTGGACAACGTTGAAAAGATTCAGACGCGTCTCTGAATCCATATTGTTTTCTAAATCCAAATGCACAGTCTCCGCTCTAGCATCCGTCTGTGTGGTAAAAGCTTTCAATACCCAGATTCCCTTGTCTGTGAGATCAAAACAGACGTCATGGCCTGCCATTACGGTGACCTGCGGGATCACAATTCGCTGCATATCTGGCCATTGCACTCTACTCGTTGGCTCAATTGTGGCGGATTTGAGCTTGAATTCTTTATGATCGCCCAGAAAGCTTTGAAAAGTTCTATACAAGCCAAGGGATTTTGCTCCGAATGAAACGCAGAAGGTCTTGAACTCTAGTTGGATGGAACGAACGTTGGGTAAGTTGTCTAAGGACGAGTTCACTACCTCTGGCATCGGATGCCAGTAGTAAAACCTCAGGTCTTTGACAATGGGTACCTGCCCCGCCGATTCATCAACCTCGGAGGCATTATTGACAGTCTGGGTGGGCCTAAAGGGCGAGTAGTGCGAATGGTGATTTTCCCAGATCTCAGGTAAATATTTGATGACAATATTTCGGACCAGTCCACCTTCTTCGGAATCCATCGGTAGCTTCCACTTATTGCCAAAGTGAAGGGAGTAGACCCAGTCTCTGCTGCAAGCATCTAGGGTATGGATATAAGCAATACGCCATGGATCGTTCACGCCACATTTCAAGCTTGTGATAAACTTCGGTAAGTTGCGTGTGATGTTGCCAAGATTTGTACCTGCCTCTTCTTCCTTCATGGACTCCTTGGCAATTCGACCTAGAATCTCCATAGGAAGAGAATGTAAGCCTATGCGGATCTTCGGGTTGGTTCGCGAGGTCGCAGGTGGAATGGAGGGAATCTCTGATTGTTCGTTGGGAATTTGTTGGGAAGACATCTTTAATTCTAATCGGTTGGTTGATAGATCTCTCGCAATAATTGGTAGGTTTTAAGGTAAGATAGATTAGTTGAGTGCGGATGGAGATGTTGAAAGAATTTGGTACCGTTTCAGATTCTGACGTAATTGAAGATTCGTTGATTTGAGGGAGTTGTGCGAACTTATTGGAAAGAGACAGACCAACGAAGTGAAAGATTTACCTTTGACATGGAATGTTCATACGCGAGAATCACATACTCTGCTAGTCATCAGGGCGTACGTCGTTCTACAGTCTCAAAAGCCGTAGCAGATACCAAATTACAGAGTCCTGCAAGACTGCGCTCAGGGTTGAATTTTAAAACATACATTTGTGGGTTGTACTGGTAGCCCAACCTGACTCGCCTATGTATGGCATGTATGGCGGACGACTTCGCTGCCATAGTTTACAGTTCACCACATCCTACGGTTTTCGGCGCCGTAGCAATAGTGGTGGATTACAAATCTTTGCATTACGGTTAGAAGTAGCCGTGGTGGTCTATGTTTTGAGGCTCTGCAGATTGCACAGCTAACTAGGTCAACAACCGATAATTTGCCTTTGTTAGTACATCGTGTACTAAGTTTCTCTTCTTGACAGTACAACATATTGATAGTACATGAAATCGATAGTAAGTACACTGGTTTGTAAGAATATTTTTGAAGTGGGAATAATCACAATTATTCCAAATACTGTTTGATTTAGATCCAAATCTCTACAAGTTAATTACTGGATCTGAAATGAGTGTCTCTACAAAGTCTTAAAGCTTTTGAAACAATAGTGCAAAAGCTAATCTCAAACTCAAGTTTTTCGTCATCTCATGAACCCTTATATCTATTGTTGTATCTTAAGTTTTTCTCGTTGTTAGTACATCATGTAATAAGTATTTCTCGAGTCATTGCTGATGTATCATGTACTTAGCATTTCTTATCATGTACTAAGAATCTGAAACTTAAGTATTGATGCTGCTACACAGTAGAGCTTTATGCGTCGGCGGTTTTTAGTTTTCTGTATTACAAAATTAAGTGCTTTTGAAACTCTAGTGTCTCCGAAGCCTCGGGCTCCTTCGTGAAGGAAGTATACCTTGAATCCATCCCCTTCCGAGCATCAGTGACTCATCTACATCCAAAAGAAAAAGTTGAGCCGGGTGCATCATCGGATTATTCGGCAAAGTGAGCCGTGTTCTGGCTCAGATGTAGCTTCCGTTCTTGATTGTTCCGTATTGGCACGAAGATCAGGCCTAAGAGGAGAGAAGTTTTAAGCTGAGTGGAATAAGTTAGTAGGTCCATACTCGTGTGGCTAGATATTATACGACTCTTCTGAAATTAAATTTGGATTCATTTTCTTGTAAACTGTCATGTGGTGGTATGTGTATCTCACTTCGAATCTTTCTCCCTAGTACATACTTTCCGGCCACGTGCATACCCCAGCGATTAAGTGAACCACACATGACAAAGTAAATACCTAATTCTAACTCTCCGCAATCGGAAGGACAGATAGCATTTGTTCATTATTACAACGGTTCTTGAAATTCCCTTACTCCGATAACATTCATGTTGAAATCACTAGCAATCTAATGTTATTTTGGATGATATTTTGATTAAAGACAAACTTTTGTTTTCATTAATGCTGTATATTTACCTGTGGTTGATTGATTGTAGCATTGAAATTTTTGATGTTGAATTTCGCCCTACCATTTTATTGACGGAAAGTTTTAATATGTTGCCCCGCACTAAAAGGGGGGCGGGATCGCTACACGCGTCGGGTAAAAAAGGGATGGGATCGCCCACTTAGTTTTCAATAGTATATCATCTTCTATGAAGATTGAACATGTCAGAAAATAGGAACTCAGTAATATCGATTTTTCCTGTGCCTGAATCGTCAACTAAGGAGATCTGTTCCATAAAGCCGAGCTAGCGTCGCGAATAGAGAATTAGTTCAATGACTTGAAAATTTACACAATGAAGCTTTGCCTGAAAATGCGTAGGTCACTTGGTGAACGTGAATAGTACGTGTGCAGCAATCGATCCTTCCATCAGGATTTTCAGTCAACTTTTATACTTTTGCCCTGATGGTTCAAAGGACAATACCACCCGGTCGCCCTTCCCCTTCTGTACCGACTATCGAAAAGATTATGTTTTATGGCTACACTACACTAACACGTACTATGACAATGGCAACTGGATATACAACAACTGTCCTTTACCAAAATTAATTTGCATACGGATTCCTATAAGCGTACTTGGCAGTTAAGCTGGCTCAGAAACTACTAAATACCTTGCTGGTGAAAACCTTACTGTTGACAGATAGCCGTTTTCCTTCAAATTGCACTACCAACCTAATCTATTCCCAAACAAGCCATGTTTGTCCTGTTTGCACCAACTGGCCTCCCCGCAGAACTTCTATAAAGTCTGTATAATTCCCACTCATTTCATTTTTTTTTACCTCGACACCAAGACCAGATTACCAAGTTCGACCATAACTTTTCCGAGTGGAATTCTCACTCCGAAAAGATTGTCTCCAACATTTCCGATGAGAATTCGGAATCCGTCAAGCTCTGTCGTCCACCTTGGATAATCGGGATGGAACTCTCTGATCTTCGGACTTGGAGTTACCTCCCCAGGTCTACCTCGGGGTCGTTCCAAATCCAGCAAGATCGTCTTCGACTTGGCTGATTAGAAGTATGCCCCGGGGTCCACGGATACTTCTCCCAGTAGAAATCCTCTTGCTCGACTGGAGAAATGGAGAGAAGCCACGGTGCACATTTCGAAATCCTGTGTTAAAGCCCCAGCACGTTTACTACATCAATTTGTGTGAGTCCTTCTTGCATTCCTTCACCTTTGCTTCGCTAACCTCATGTGTTACTTCTGATGCCTAGGTTGTAACGTTCATTTGGAGGTCATAAGTAAAGAACATGTGGAGTTTGAGAAGATGGAACATTATGTATCTTAGTTTAAATCTCAATGAAAAGAATTTTTGAATATCACGATAGTACTTCTCAACGAAACTCTTAAGCCTCTGTGCAAAATGTATGTCATGCAGGTATCTGTGACTGCTACCAATGTGTGCGATTTTGAGTAAGCCTTGGCCAAGCGGGTAGAGAATACCGACTAAGTGGATTTTCAAGAGCAGTGTGGATGAATGATATACTTTTGATGCTGTTCTACATTGCTCGTGATGAGGCTTGATGATTAATGTATTTATCCAGAACCAAGTAAGATTAATAGAATTGTTGTTTAAGGCATGAAGAATGATTTTATCTTGCTCCAGACCATACCGATCGAGACTTTATAAGTTCTCTTTGGCTAGATAGACAAATTCTGAATGTTTGATTCCAATTTGATCTTTTCAGGTCTGTAGAAAGGAATAATTCTATTAAGATAGCTTTTTATTCTCTCTATCAGCAAGAAAAAAAATGGCAAAGCTGCATTGTGACGATATTCAGATATTAAAGGTACAAGTGTATGATCCTTGATTTCTGCTAACTGTCTGACTTATTGATACATGAAGCAGCTTTTTAGATACACCTTGGCAGCGATATTCATAGTCAGCCCCCTCCATTTTCCTTCAATACGCTTTTTCCAATCTCGGGAATGTGGCACGACTGGCCTTGCATTTCGGGATATGTACACTTTACAGACTCCAAGACTTGCTATCATCTCATCAACAGCATGCGTCTTCGACTTATCTTGAAGTGATAGAGACATTTGTAATCAGTTTGCAATACACTGAGGACCTGGGTATTTGGGGTTGATCATCTTATGCAATTTGATCTGATTGACTACATAACAGACAATCTCGCACCCGCCAGGTACACTCTAGGGACAAGGATTTATCAAGCCAACAAGGTGGTTTTGGAGCTCTATCAAAAATATTGGAAAGATTCAAACATCATGAGCCCTGGTCGTCGCCCCCATGTCCCAGCGCAGAGAAGGCGGGAATACTACCATGGTAATTAACTGAACCTCATAGACTCATACAAATCTTCCAAAATTCCAGCTATCAAACAAGCAAACAGACCATCCCTCTTAATTAAAAAACTCTAAAACGGAACAAAAATCAAAGCTGCAGAGGAATTCGGGGAAAATTGCAAAGTCTATGTGGTTGACATTTACTTTGAGGGTATGTAACTACAAGTCCGGCTTGATGAAAAATAAGTTGGGAGAAATGGTTAAACGACAGTAAAGATAAAAGGATTAGATGTGAAAAACAACAGGAAAATCTTCTGTTGTCTATCAGATGATCATGATTAAATACATCACCACTCACATGTCCATGAATATCCCCGAAGTCAGAGAAAATCCTCCTAACTCCTCATCAATATCATGAATGATACCCAATACTATAAACTACAACCTACTAACAAATTCCCAATAACAGCATAAACACCAATTCACCAATAACAAAACCCCCCGTAATCCTATCCACCTCATCAAACCCAAGTTCGAAAATGCTCAACACACACGAGTATAGAATCCCCAATATCCCAACCCCATTAAATTACATTTTCGCGCAACTTATAATACCTTTTTCTCAGAAACTAAAATGAAATGATTCATAAATTCTGGATTTATGTATTGCTATCCCCATCGCTAAGCTAAAATATAAGTAGAGGAATCGGTTACCCCCGCTGGATTTAGAAGCATTGCTGTTGATTTATCTCACTTCTATAGTGTGCACAAGTCCACTTTACTCAGAACTCGAGATTCGAACTCGAATTCAATTTCGAAAGGAAGTCTGTATCCAATCCATATCCATATACGCAGCTATATAAGCACAACTCAAAAAACCCGACGAGGTAAACTGTAAAGCAAGTGGGATACCTCATAGAATCCTTATGGGGATTGTAAAGGTCGTCGAGAATTGTATCCTCTCTTCAACCTGGGATATCTTTTGCTGCTTTCAGGAACATAGGGAGATCGTGGTGGGAAATGTGACGAGAAACGGAGAAATTGATGTGGTTTCTTTCTGAGATGATGAAGTGTACTGTTGTTATTGTTGTTGTTATATTTGTGGAAAATGGGTGATAATGATGATAATGATGATAATGATGATAATGATGATAATGATGAAAAAGTATACATCGACAATCCATCCCATCCCATCCCATCCCACCTAAAAATAAACCGCAACCACCATTTCCACACTTAACCTCCCACTCATCTCTAAGCAGCCCCTTCAAAATTCCAAAACACATTTCCTCAACAATTCACGCCCCCATCTAGCGGAAACTGAGGAGCTCAGGGAGAAAAGAATCCTCGATATCTCAGCAGGTATCATTGTGGAAGAACAGAATACCCATGTACGAATAATTCAAATCGACAGTGATATCATTTTTCAAATCGGTCATCAATACAGCATACACACTTCCAGATGTAAACACTCTACAATATACAAGTAACCAAAGAGTAAATTCACAGAAGTGATGTTTCAATTATCGTGCATCCACACCGTGCAAGTATTAGTGGGGAAATGAAGATTCAATTTCCTTGTGTTTTCTCTGGAGTGATCGATTATCAGAGAGGAGGGGGACGCATAGAACTATCTATTTCCTGCTGTTTGTACTTTTTGATACAGCGTTGGAGATACAGTTGTAAGAATGAGATGTTTGTGATGATAGACCATACACACAAGATAAAGATGAGAGGTATGGTCTAAAGATATGCAACGAAACTTCCGCACACGAAGCTAAAACGCAAAAATCCAGCACATTACTTCTTTACCCCCATTGTACCTTATTCCCATCTCCACTCCCCTTCCCCCCTTTATTTCCAGTTATCAACGCTCTTCCCCACCACTTCCACCCTCCACTCTCATCCCATTCAAACTGCATCGCCCACGCCACCGCAAAAACCAACACCATAATCGGCACCGACGTAACCCAACAAACCCAAAACTCCTCTCCACCTGGTTGATACTCATCACTCATACTAAAAAGCGCACTGGTATAAGCCAACGGTAAAAAAAACCAACCCAATAAACGTAAGTGTTTTCGAATACTCCGCTTCGCGGACAGAAATACGTGCTTCGTGCAGAGCTTCGCAATTGGCGACGATGGAAGAAAGACCTTGGGTTGAGGATATGATTGTAGTTACGCGGTTGTAGAGATTTGCGAGGGAGCTATGAATGAAGGGGAAGTCGAGGGTTGAGGAGAGGTAATGGGTGGGGTATGGTTGGGGAGGGAAAATTCTCAAGGTTTGAATGATGGATTGGATGTCGGAACTGTAATCTGAGAGGAAGCGATGGGTGAGTTGTAGACTGGACCATTGTTCGCGTTGTTCTGGTCAAGAGTTATAGTCTTCCTTATCAGTCTGACGGGAGAGTAGTCCTTCTGCCTAGTGGTTGAGTGTTCATAGTAGTGGTAATTTGAAATTAGTATATGGATAGCATGAAGGCAGACACTTACCCTCTTCAATCTTTGAACAACTATTTCGAAATAGTCAATCAATTTCGTGTAATGAGGAGCCACTATTTTCTCGAGGAAAGTAGACGCAATCAATGGGGGTGTCGCTCCTTCCATCTCGAAAAGAAGTGGGCTATGATGCTCGCAGATTCTTGGAGGGCCATTCAATGCCCCATTCAAGCCGTCTCGGATCAAGATATCAAGGTCGATAAAGTCAATATAACCATCTTGAAATCATTCACTCTTGATCTCTTGCGGAAAAAGGCTTCGCGCGCGATATACTTTATGGACTGGTGACTCACAGAGAATAACAGCTAGGAGTCAGATGTTAGCATTCCATAGGCATCCACGCAAGTATTCAACTTGTAATGATAAAATACATACCATCCCACCCTCCGTGATTATCAACGGCATCTCTAAACCAAAAAGGACACTCCCTCTCCACCGCAGCTAGACTGTCTAATTTATACTCGAAACCAATTCCCGAAACATGTGATCCGCTCGTCGCACAAATCGTTCGCCAGTGATCATAATCTGGACCGAAATTTCTCATTTCACGATATTTTAAGACGAAACATTTATCCGGATTCTCTAATGAAGGTAAAGGAGGGTTATCACTAAATCCTTCCTGGATATCACGCATATCCCATACTGTATTTCTTCCTTGCTTAGTGAAAAACAGTGGATTCATGAAGAAGTATGACCCATATGCTTCTACGAAATTCGCATCTAATCGTTCGAGAATATACACTCTCTGCCCTATGTTTGGTCTTGCCTCTACATCGTCTTTCACTCTTTGAGCAAAGCGGTTTTTGAGTTCGGAAACATTTTTGAAATGTTCAGATGTTACTGTATGATCAGAGCAAAAATTCAGAATAACTGATCGTGATGTACCCACTCGGGATCCAATCCTATCATTTTTGGGATCTGGTTTATAGATAGAGGGATTTCGTGATTTAAGGCTCTTGATGAAATCTAGATGTGGTCCTTCAGAACATAAGCATGATAGGTCACTTGATTGGGTGCCTGGTTGATATTTGGAGGCCACTCCACAATATGAACTTCTGCCACGTTTTCGGATGTCAATAAGATAACAAATAGTAAAGATGTTTTCGTTTCCAATGGCGACGGGAAAGCAGTTGATCATAAAACACGGGTAGTGGAGGCTGGGTTCTGCATGAAGTCACGAGAGTTGATCTTGAATTGATCTTGATTGGCCCAGAATCTAAGATGCATACGCTGTAGCGCCTTCTCGCAGGGTAATTGACAAGCTACTAGGCCGTTTACTGCGTACATCAAGCTTGCCTAAATGTATGTTTGATGCCATATGTTTGCATATATCAATCAACATTCCACAAAGTTGAAAAGTGTATATACTTCTACCTATTCCAATTTTACTGAAGAATTGTTGATGGTTTCTTCTTCTCTTCTCCATCGGAAGACAGTAAATTGAACTGAAGATCAACAACATGCAGAAAATAGGAACAAAATTTGTACAGTCGTCAACCATTTTAGTTTCGCCGTGTTACGTTGCACTCTGATGAATGTCGTTTTGCAGCATTTGCTGTGCAGTCATTGCTTGAGTACCTTCAATTACGTCGTAACAACAACTCAGAACCTTCAACACGGAATGGCATCATTGATGAAGCATTGTGATCTATCAATAAACCGCAAAGACGAACCAACAAGGTATCGTGACCACTTCGTATCCCTTTGAGAAACAAATCATAATCGTACATCCATCTCAAAAGCAAAATACTCTGGACCACCCATGTCAGAATCTGTATCGCTCTATCTACATCTGTAGCAATATATTCAATCATCAAAGGCCAGAAAATAGAGATGCGGAGCAAAGCAAACACGAAATTCAGTACAGAATCGCCACGCGAACGATGAGGGCAAAATAAGTAAAATATGTTCTCATGCAAAATCAATAGATTGAACAGTATAGAGTTGACACAAAGCTCAGAAACTTATAAGCTACTCAAGATTGAAACCTTGAAGTGATCGAGCGTTACAGATTCTGAGAATCTTGAGAGTACCAATTGGATAATAAGATAAAAAGTTGAGCGAGTGACAGGTGATGGAAAGAGAATGGCAAAACGTTATGCTATGAGGACCTCCAGAGGTTAACACAAAAACTTTAGGCCAATGAGCGACTGTCAGTCTAGATGTTCTTTAATATCCATTGCTACTCACAAATACGCTCGCGAGTATATAGGTGATATAAGGTAGGTTCTCTTCGGGAGTAAAGAGAACATAGCATTTTGATTTGCTATTTCTCACAAGCTAGCAGAATGATAGTTTCATCAAGTCTCCATGATACCAATGGTGTCAGAAGCATAAAAGCAAAGATGGAAAGATACTTATCAACTCTCGAGTAATGATTGTACCACACCACAACGGCGTGTCACGGTTGTACCAGTTTTTGATGCATGAAAAACGTCCGAAGATTGGGAGGTGTGGATCGTGGGATAAATTGGGTCAATTGTCACTTACCCCTATCATCTTCTAGAATTTGGATAGAAGGAATCCGATAGTTTCATTTGTACTGATGGTCGTACTTGTTGACGACAGTGACAGTGTATATGATGTGTATATGAATGTGTCAAGTATATACAAGCTTTTCATCGAGTATTATTTTAGAGGTGGTGGTTTCTTAGCACGTGTTAGTACATCTAGTACATGGTTTAATTGTCGCGTCGTTATTCGTTGATATGTCAGTCTTACATATTACTAATGTGATCTGTCATGTGACACCTATCAGCCCCGAGTTCAATTGTTATTAGCTTGGCGGTAGCTTTGTGGCAATTCTTCACTCAGGGCTTCATAGAATGGCGCTAGTGCATAACTAGTAGGCGGTAGATCCCTCGATAATCGGATACGGCTAGCATGTGCTATCTCCCCGAAGCTCTAAGCTTAATTGGGTATGGTCGATGTAAACAAGAGCTTATCCTTGCCGAGTTGTTGATTTTGATTTTTCTATGGTTGAAGAAACGCGACAGAATCAGTTTATTCGCACACAACTTCGTACCGTACAACAATTCACAACTCATAACAATCACTTCAATTTCAACTGAATTCAATCAATTCCTTCAATTCTCAATTGTCTCGAATTGTAATTACTTTTCTCGCACGGCACACTCTTCAAATCCACTTATCCCTCGAAGATTTATTCTCGAGAACCGTACTTGATCGCGTCTTTTGTCATCTTTGAAGCTTCAATAACTTCATACGACAAGATGCCACCAAAGAAGATCCCAACCCCTCCTACTCGAGTCTCATCTCGTAAAACCTCTCCTCCGAAAAACGTTCAAGTCGAGGCAAATACTTCAAAAGTCATGAAGAAAGCTCTCGCACCCAAAAAGGCTGGCGTCGCAAAGAATGTCGCGCCTCAAAAGAAAGTCTCTCCTGCTGTCGCAAAGAAGACAGCCAAGGCACAAGCAGCTTCAGCCAAGAAGACTGCCACTACCACTAAAGCTGTCACCGTCAAGAAGACAACCATTACCAAAGCTGCCATGGCAAAAAAAGTCGCTGCCGCTAAAGCCGCTCCATCTAAGCCTGCTGCCCCAAAATCAAACAAGCGCAAATCCACCGAAGATGTCGATGAACCTGTCGCAAAACCCTCGAAGAAGGCAGAAGTTACCAAATCCACTCCTGCCACCAAAAAGCCTGCCACCACAGCAGCTGCGAAGCCTCTCCCCATTGTCAAAAAGCCAAAGGCTGCTCCTAAGCCCAAGGCCGCTCCAAAGCCCAAGGCTCCAAAGGTCGTCAAACCAAAGGTTGTGAAGCCAAAGACAATTATCAATTTCGCTCCTACTCAACTCTTGGACATTTATGTCTTCGGTTGCAATGAAGCTGGAGAGCTTGGTCTCGGTCTTCAAACCAAGAAAGATACAATCAATCGACCAGTCAAGAACCCCGCACTCACCGCTCGTGGTGTTGTTCAGATGGTTGCTGGTGGTATGCACGGAGCTGCCCTCACTAAGGACAACAAGATCCTTACATGGGGTGTCGCCGATGGATTGGCACTGGGCAGAAAGACCGATGATTGGGTTGCACCTGAGAGAGATGCCGATGCAGAGTCTGATGATGAATCGGCCGCCGCAGATGCCCGCAACCCATTGGAATCAACCCCCGGCGAAGTTGATTTGACCAATGTACCAGAAGACACTATCTTCACTCAAATCACTGCAGGTGACAACGCTACTTACGCCCTCACCAACGATGGCTTGGTTTATGGATGGGGATCAATCAGAGTAAGTTAAATCACCACACCGTCTTCTGAAGTATACTAACTATCTAATAGGGTGCTGATGGTCCAATGGGCTTCACCAAAGATGTCAAGGAGACCTTGGTTCCAATGCTCATTCCTGGCTTGAAGAACATCGTCAAGCTCGCCGCCGGTAACAACCATTACCTTGCTCTCAATAACAAGGGTGCTGTTTTCGCATGGGGTGCTGGTGAGCATAATCAACTTGGCCGAAGAATCGTTGAACGTTCAAGATTGAATGCTCTTGTTCCTCGTGAATTTGGTCTACCAAAGGCTATGGTCGACATTTTCTGTGGATCAGAACATAGTTTCGCCATTCACAAAAATGGTACCGTTTACTCTTGGGGAGCAAACAACATGGGTCAATGTGGTCAATTCAGCAAAGATGGTACCTTGACTGAAGAAGTCACTTCAACTGCCACCAAAGTCAATATTCTCAAAGACAAGAATATTAAGATGATGGCCGCAGGCAACGCTTCCAGTTTGGCACTCACTCACGAGGGCGAGGTTCTTTACTTTGGCAAAGCCCAAGATGGTCTTTCTGGCCATGATGTTGAGGCACTTCCAGAAGATGTCATCATCAGAAACGAACGTAACCAACGATCAATCATCAAGACACCTCTCAGCTTCCCATTCAAGGGATCATACATTGCTATGGGTAGTGACCACAGCATCGTTCTTGGCCCTGATGGTCACAGTCCTCACTATTCTTGGGGATTCAACACATACAGACAGACTGGTTTGGAAGACGACCAAGATGTCTACATTGCAGAGGAGCTCGAGAACAAGAACATTGAAGGAAAGAAGCTTGTCTGGGCAGCAGGAGGTGGTCAATTCTCCTTCTTGGCTGGTATTCCAGAAAACTAAATTTCGTATCGCCGCGTGTTTGATTTTTTTCGCTGTAAATAGCGCAGTTCGGATCCTGATACACCGCAATCAATCCAGCTCGAACTCGACCTGACAGCATTTGTTCAATAAGGAAAATATACCTGCTTTGATCTTGAGAGACTGACCTTGATGGATCTCTGGTTTTTACCTAGGACTTTGATCCGGACCATCAAGGCAGTTCTCTCTTAATCATCGCAGGTATGTTTTCCTTATTGAATAATTGTCGGAAGGGCGATAATAGAGAGGATTGAGCGTGGTTGTAGATGGTGATGGCTGCATTCATGAATTGGCGTTTCAGAATTGGACTGTATGGATATCAAAATGGGAATGGATCATGGCATTATTGTGGTGCCTGGAATAGTTCAATGGAACATTGGGATGGATTAAACTGGCGTTATTTGTTCAAGTCGTCTTTTAAAGAGACTCATTATCATCGGTCATGAGAGACCTTTTATGGAATTGTTGGATTTGTTAGACTTGTCTTTCGTGGTTTATTCAAAGTCATTGCGTTTGTAGTACATAGGTTACTTTTCTCGTCTCTGGAATTAATAATTTTATAAATGAAAGGTTGCGCTTGTGCGGTTGTGATGTGATTGATGTGATGTGATATGGTGTTCTAGATTGAGAAGTTAATAGTGGATAAAACAGGGTCGTTTAAATACATGTCATATGGGATCCTCGATACGGCAATGCGAATACTCACCGCACTATAGGTAGTTATTAGCATGCAAGGAAGCCCAAGGATGGAACGAGAGATTATAGATTAAGTACATTCTTCAATTAGGCCACTACTAATATCAATTCGACATGACAATTGGATATCTCTTGAAGTATCGATAGTACTGATTAGTTCAAATACTTTGAAACTTGATCTTGTAATTCATTGTATATGAAAGTATGGAATAATGGAATAATAGAATAATATAAATATGGAATAATGTAAATATAGAATAACGTAGTTTATTAGTGGGTCGGCTATATCAGTGGATTAATCATTTTTATCTCGAATTATTATTCTATATTTAATATATATTTTCTTTATAATTAATTATGAAAATTCATTTTAAAGAAGTATATATAATCTTAATTATTCAAGTTATTGAATTAAATAAAAAATTATCAATTCGAAAGATAG